ATTCTAGTAAATGAATTAGCTCAATAACACAACTCGACTCACCATCCCTTAACCCTCTACGAAACCCAAAGTCTCAATTTAAAGATAAGGGGTTTAACGGGCTTGAGAGAAAAGTTGCAATTGGCTCATGTTTGTGAAGGGAAATGGAATAGAGCATAAGAACTCTACTCCTTTACCATTGTATTACGGTATTACCAAGATTTGTAAGAACTACACTTTCTTACCTCCATGCTTCCTAGGCTTAGCCATTTAGGATCTTTGTAAGTAACCCTATCTTCTGCATCTTTGTCATAGAGGTGTTTCACAACTATGGTGATTTTCAGTTGTATTCAGATTGTTATCTTATCAGTTGCCATCATCATGCATCAAGTGTTAAAAATTCAGTTTAGTTCTACCTTTTTTTCAGATCCTCATTTCCTCCAACCTTTCTACTATGATTTCCTTAGCATCACTAACTCTAAATGGTTTTTCTAATGAATTGTAAGAAACTTAACTCATGGAGGAAATTTAACAGAACATAGAAGACTGTAATCATTAATCTTGGAATCAAAAACTCAACTCATGCAGGGTATCATTCTATTTCCATTTTATTTATTCCTTCTATCTATCAAAAAAAAATTTCTTCTCAAAATAAAAGAAAATTACAATGGTGGAAAGGTTTGAGAAGAGATTAGCTAGGTGGAAGAGAAATTACATTTCTCTAGGTGAGAGAATAACTTTGATCAAATCTACCTTATCTAATCTTCCTGTCTACTATATGTCAATTTTTAGAATGCCCCAAGTTGTTTTTTTTATGAATGAAGATAATTTTATTAATCCAGAAAATTAAGGCAATACAGGAAACCCATGAAGAGGCACGAGCTGTTACCTCTTCTAACAGAGTATTACATCAAGTTAAAAACAGGAATAAMCAGAAATAAAATTACARAGCAGCCCAAAAYAAATGTTCCCTTGAAGCCCCTTGCTTAGCTAACCCATCCGCTAAGGTATTTGCTAATCTTCCCACCCAAAGAGAGGTAACAGTCATGCTTCTTGTGAGCCAATTGACTTTCCTCAACAAGTCTCTGTGTCGCCACATAGCTGAACCTGGATCTGTCAGCCATCCCACAACAATTTTGGAGTCTCCTTCAACTACCAAATGCTGAACTCCTAATTGTTCTGCAATCTGAATACCTTGTACAGCCGCTAAAATCTCAGCTCTATTGGAGTCTCCTATTCCCACGGGGCCTGAAAACAAGGCTAAGATGTTGCTTTCCTCATCTCTCAGCACCCCTCCTATCCCCAATGGGCCTGGGTTCCCTTGGATGCTACCATCAAAATTCAGCTTTGCCCAACCTTCAAGCGGAGGCACCCACACTGCAGATTCCCTGTCCTTCCTCGTATGGCTATTAGCCACCACTATCTAGTTTCTCCAAATATCATCAAAAGAAAATGTATGAAAGAAGTCCATAGTTCTTAACCAATGAATGGCCCTAGTCAAGATACAATCCTCAACAGCCTAAATGCTTCTTTCCTTTTCCTTGAATACCTTTGCATTCCTTTCTTCCCAAATTGTCCACAAGGCAGCTACTCTAATACATCTCCACATCATTTTTCCTTTTTTTGTAGGCCACACAAAAAAGGACCGAACAACTAACTTAAATCTGTGGTCAGATTCCACCTGCACCCAAACAAAGCAAAAATCCAACTCCAAATAGCATTAGAAAAGGAACAAGATACAAGCGGAACCAATCCTCACCACTAACCCTGCAAAGTACACACCAGTTAGGGGACAAACACATGAAAGGCCTTTTCTTCTGCAAGCAGTCCAAGGTATTAATCTTTCTATAAAACACCTCCCAGCAGAAAATAATAATTTTAGGTTGAACAGGTCTAAACCATATCTCCTTGGTCACAAAACCCAACTGTCCCGAGGAAGAACAAAGAACCTTAAAAAAAGAAGCACAAGTGAAGTAACATTTTGGATGAGGGGACCATAATCTCACATCCAAACTAAGAGGGTCCAGAAAGACACTACCAAGAAGAGACAACAAATCTGAAAGACTGCCAAGAATGCCCCAAGTTGTTGTGAGAAAATTGGAAAAGATTACGAGAGATTTTTTGTGGGAACCTGAGCAAGGGAAGAAAGATCATTTGATGAGTTGGGAGAAGTTGACAAAGCTAAAGACAAAAGAGGGGTTGGGAATTGGGAATATTAGAATGAAAACTTTGGCTTTTTTGAGCAAATGGCTATGTTGATTACCATTGGAAAGTGAAAGGCTTTGGCACAAAGTGGTAGCAAGTATTCATGGGCTGTCAAGTAATGGATGGGATGTTGGTTGTCTTCACAAAGCCAATTTGGCTACCCCCTAGAAAGCATCCACGATTGTCTTCCTATCTTCCTTAATTGCATCAAGTATGACTTCAGTGATTTAAAAGGCGCACTTGAGGCTAGACTTGTTCACGGGCCGGGCTTTGGGCCCAACATTACATTGTCTCGGGCTCGAGCTTCGAGTCAGGCCCATTAGAATTTTAACAAAAGCCAAGCCCGAGCCCGGCCCATGAACAGACCTTCTTGAGGCGTGCCTAGGCGCACGCATTTTGGGGTATGCGCCTCGTCCAGGTCCTAGGCACACCCCTTTCAAAAGGTGCACGCCTGGTGCGCCTAGGTGTGCGCCTTTTTAAAATTTTGCGCTTTTTGCTTTTTTTTGCTAATGTTGTTCATTCATTCATTTGAATAAAATATCTTCTTAAAAGGCAATGAAAGTTATAAAATCATTATTTTTTATGTGAAAACTAAGAATTTCAAACCTAACATAGACTTGTTCGGGCTTGCCTCGAGGAGCGTGGTACAAAGGCGACTCATAGAATCAAGAATGCAATATGTTTTACATCACATTAACTACTTGAAGCAATGCAATTAAGGAAAAAAAAGATTGTGGGTTTTACATGATTGAAAATGCTTTATATGTTTGCTTTTATTTTTAAAATCCATTTGAATACGCTTCACATGTTATGTTTATGTTTTTTAATTTCAGATAATAGGTTTTTTAAAACATTAATTTATAAATTTAAGTTTATATTATTTATTAACATTATGTTTAATATTTTATAATTTTTGCATTTTTTAATTTTTTGGCATTGTATTGAATTTTATGACTTTTTTTTTATTTTTGTAATCTTGCGCCTTGCTTAAAAAGATGTGCGCCTCGCCTTGCGCCTCAGGCACAAATTGGCCCTTGCGCTTTTAAAACACTGGGTTTCGAGTCAAAATATTAGGTTATGGGAAGATATTTGGATTGGGGAGTCCCCTTCCATTGAGATCTTTCCCTCTCTTTATGCTCTTTCCAATCTCAAGGGTAGATCTATGTCTGAGTTCAATCCCCCCCCCTTCTCCTAGGAATCTTAGAGAGTCTGAAATCCATTTTGTGTTTGCTTTGCTTACTTCGCCAAATCCTATGGTTGGACCCTCAATTCGGTTGGGACCTTCACTTAAGTCCTTGTTTAACTCCCTTATATCTTCCTTACCCTCCCCTTCTCATACTTTCCCTATTAAGGAAATTTGGTGCTCTCCCATCCATTTTAAAGTTGGTGCTTTTTGCTAGGAAGTGTATCATGGATGCATTAA